AAAAACCCAGCAAGCAAGCAAGCCAATGGGGGAAAAATACATTTTTTGAACACTCCAACCTATTTACTTTAATAGACTCAGAAAGAAAATCAAGAAAAGGGGACAAGAGGCAAGTTTATCTAACAGGGAAGAGCAACACATTCTCATCCAGCCAACCCCATCCCATTTTTTCCACTTTCTAATTATAACTCTTCAAGGGAAGACATTCTATTTGGGTAGTTCCTAAAGGCTCGGGGCTGGAGAAGGAGGAAGACAAGCTAATTGTACAGCGCAGGAACCTTAATATACTAAGTTCAAAGTTTTGCTAATTAAATTGAAGATCTTGACAAAATGTTAAATACATTGGCGATGCCATCTTCTAGTTGCTTTTCTTATACTTCAGTCACAATTCACAGATTCTAATTTCAATGAGATGCCCTAATTCTCAGCAAAGGCTGGCCCAAGGCCTGTTTCTTGAGCATACCAGACCATCAGAAACCATCATGAAAGTGCTCTCCTCCAGGGGGAATAGCTAGACGGCCCTAACATTACCACTCCTCTAGAAATCTTTTGAAATTGGCAAAAAATTAGGGGTTACACTGCAGTTTTTTTCTTTATGATCCCAAATTTTAGAGCTTTATTAACAGGAAGAACTCAAAAGCCATGTGCTCCTGACTACACCAAAAGTATATCTGGGAGGGTGAGGATCAGGATGAGGAGGAGGAAGAGGAGGAGGAAGAGCAGGAGGAAGATAACTTCAACAATGGAATTGAGTGGTACAAAGCTCCACCTGGCTAGAGCACCAGGAATGAGTTGCCTAACTGTTGCTTGCAGAATTTGAGCATTACTCTGGTTCTTCGCTTCCCCTCACCCACTGGACATCTAATCATCAGAGCTGATGGAATCCCTCAAACCTACCAGCTCCTTCCACACCACCACTGTGTGTACTGGGACCACCCTGCCTCCTGCCTCGCTGCACACAGCAGCCCTCTGATCGGCCTCACTGTCTCTTCCCATCTCCCAGCACGGAGGCTCTGGAGGGAAAATCTGACTACCTGTGCATTTTTCCACAAAATACATTTATGGATTTCCTGTGCCCTCACAGAGACTTGCTGGAAAGTGGATTCTTGGGGCTTGACTTGGTAAAAGAAGACAGTAACACTTCACTGGATTGTGATAAGGATTAAATGGCAAAATAGAAACAAAGCCATTTGTTAAAGAGAAACATAAGAAATGTAACTCGTTATATTGATGGGAAATTCAATTTGCAAGACAATTGAGTAATCAATGAAAGGAGTTAAATATAATTACTTGAGTAATTAAAATGATTTATTGCATTATACTAGAGGTCTGGCAAATTTATACAAACTGTGGTGATAAAGTGACCATATTACTTTTTTATATACCACGTATCAGATGTTAATATCCAAATCAATGCATATGTGGAATTGTGACTTAGCAATAAATAATGTCCAAATGTTAATTTATAATTCACATGGATTTGGCTAGGTAGACAAAACTATAGACTACAAATCTGTCTTTTCGAAAGATAGCTAAACAGTGTCACAATTGCTTTAAAGCAAACTAAAATGAAATGTCAGCATACCTGACAATGTTTATCAAGGATAGAAATCATCAAAGACACCAACATGTTCTGAAGTAAATATTCAATAGTAAATAAGTAGTAATTAATATGTAGTGAGTAATTACAGCCGTGTAATAATGTTTGGAGTTTTATTAATCCCCAAGACAAATCTCTGAGTTATCAGTTATATTAAAATAAACCTGTAAGGGAAGTGTTTGATTAAAATGGAAGCAGAGACCAAATTTTCTCAGAAAGAGAATAAAATAATGAAAACAACAATATTATAACATAGTAGGGCATTTAAAAAACTTCTAATTGTTTAGTAGATCATGTCACAGATATTCTGGACTTTAATAAGGTGAGATTAATAATATACTACCAGGAAGAAGACAACATAGGCATTACTTTTCATAGTAAGATGGCTACAGGCACACACCAAGTGTTCCCTACAAATCAGATGGTTAAATTAATTAGCAAACAAGATTCAGGATGCTTTCCTGTGCCCATTGCTATCATCTCAAATAGCTTTTGTTATTCATCCTATTCAAAAATAATCAGTCCCTATATACATCCTAACAATGTTTCCAGTGAATTCATATAACATTCATATTGGATACAAACATATGTGTGTCAGAATCTATGAAATACAAAGCATTTCACAATCCTTCCTTTTCCTAGAGCTGTCTTTGAAATACAGCTTCCTGGTGTCTAACAAATAATATGGGAATTTTCAGATACTGAAACTTGTAACTTTATGTTACTGTTAAGAGAACAGACATGACAAGTCTATGGCACAATGACTAGGATAGCTCCAAACCCATAACAGACATCAATAATTGACTGTGGCTCTCTTTCCCATTAAACCTAGACTTTATGCCCTTATCAATTTAAACAATGTATTCTATACATCACCTATTATATAAACTATTTATTCACTTATAAAGTAGTGAACGTTTGCTGTATGACAGACACTGCACTAGGGAGGACCTTGTAGATAAAAGTAATTAAGAAACATGGAACTTGTCCTACTGAAATTAGATTAACAATTGATCTGACACTCAAAGGAATGGTTATTTTCCAAATTTTGCTGTGTAGGTAAAGTGAAAATATTTCTATATGACTAAGTTTCTCTTTTATTATAAAAAAGGGGGGTTGGTTTGAGAAGGCTCTGTAATCCCTACCTGCTGGGCCCATGATCCTGGGATATTTATTGCCTACCATAGAAGCAAAATGGAAAAAGAAGTGAATATTATTTTTTAGGGAAAAAAAAGATGGCTTCTTTTATTCATAGATGTGTCTAGTTGCAAGTTGGACTCTATAAAACGATGGGCAATGTTAGTATGAATGCTTTTCTCCCATTCCTCAGAGAAACAGGAAGTCTCTAGGGCCCACTGCAAAATGCTTGCTTTTTTCCACATATTGGAAAGAACACAAGACTATAGTCCTGGAAAAAGAAAACATGGCTGGGTCCATGATGTTCCCCTTGTCACTCTCAGGCACATGTCTCCTCGCCCTTGCGGGGCAAAGTCGCCTCTCTCTAAGTCTCTGTTCTCAGTGCTGTGCTCTCCACTCTTCCCCGCTTTCTGTCTTCCACCTTGTCTTCCCTCCTGTGCCAACTTCCTGTGCATAGTTTCTCAGCCTCCAGCCTACTCTTCTGTGCAAGTGGGCTGATTCATCCCTGTGATGACAGACTGCTAGTGTTTAGTCCCTGCTGCTAGCTAGCTAGTTACTCCTGGAAAAGTGTGTACTATCAGAATTGAGTATGAGGAACTGGGACAGAAAAGAGGCTCAAATCAGGCTGACAAGAGAGGTACAGTGGTACACACCTGGAAGCCCAGAAGCCCCTGGCTAGGGAAGGATCACAAGTTTGAGCTTGGCATAAGTAATGTAGGGATTAAAACTCTGTCTGAAAAGTAAATAAGTAGATAAAAAGGGTTCGGGATGTAACTTTGTGAAAAGGCCCTGGGTTCAAGTCTCTATACTAGAAAAAAAATTTAGGCTGACAATAGCTAACAGTAGTATTATATCAATATCATATCATGTGGTAGTCCTGCTGCTCTGAAGGCTAATTAGAAATCTGGACAATTGCACATTGTGCTCATTTAAAACACTGTCTAGTTGTCTTATTTCAAAAATTAAAAAATGAATTCCACCAAAATGTTAACTCTATTATACTGTCTCCAAATGCAAAGACCTTGTTGTTTAACTCACCAGAAGGTGGACATAGGGTGGATGTTTGTTATTAATGTCAATAGCTGGTTGCCTTATTTTTAAGCCCTTCTAATTTTGCTTTTATATTCTCTAGCTCCCCCTGAACAAGTTTTAGAAACTGGAACTAAATCAGGAAGAATACAACGATATGCTACTTTTGTCACTCTTTCTCAAGGGTCTATTTCTAGTGTCAGTTTATATTCTTTCAAGGATTTTACACTTATTTTGAGTATTACTTCATATATTCATTCTTTCTGGAAAGAATAAAATTATAATGAAAATCATTAATTTTTACCTTTTGTCTTTTCCACTATATCTTGGTATGTGCCAAGTCTTATAGCATTGTAATGCATGCTTAATGACTATAAAGTCATATGCTACTGTCAATGGGAACTAATTTTGTAGTTGCCATGCATAAAAGCGACATTAGATATTAATTTAGTGAAGGTGACTGTGCTGTATGGGTGTGTGGGTAATGAGGATGAAGGTCTCGGTCTCAAACATGCGAAGCATCTTGTACATGTTGGTGCTCTACCACTGAGCTATAGCCTTAGCCCAGAAAAAACAGCAATAACTTATGATTCTAGCATATAAGAGAATGTGGTTGTGTTAAAGGACCAAAATCCCTTATCCTATTTTGGGCTTTCCAATAATTAAGAATTAGGACTGAGATCCTGTCACTCACTAGCTATCCCACTGTGGGCCAGACACTACTCTCAACGTGAGAACACTGACCAAATAAATAGACACACATCTCTCTCCTAGCATACGATTTACTGACTGGGTCTTAAGAAAAATCTGGCTGCAACTGACACTCAAGAAATGTATCAGAAATGCATTTTGTAAATGTCTACAGCTAATGAATGTCCATTTTGTATCTGTGTACTCAAAGTGGTTAGGATAGATATATAGTTACATTCTCTTAATGGAGGGATTTGTTCTAATAGTGTTTGTAAATAGGATATCATGTCCGCATGTTGTACAGCAAATAACCACTAGGAAGAATGTATGCAATGTGTTAATTATTGAAACTGTCCTACCAATTTGGTTTGAAACTGTCTCATTGCTATTTGTTTCTCAATAAAATTATAGGAAACAAAAATTTCTACAGCTGTGGTGGAATCTCTTTCTCGGCCTCTCCTCAGGAAAGAAACTTTACCAAAAGATTGGGGTCAATGCATATGATCACTACCAGGGAATAGCAAACTGAATATAGAAATCTTACCCCTAACATATATATAGATTGTAGGGTCTGGTTGCTTCTCCTTTGAAGTAGAGCCAGGCAGATGTCTGCAGCTGTAGAAGCCAGTGTCGTTTATATGAGCTGAATTCACAGTCAATGTACTGCAGAACAATTTGCCGTTCCTTCCACAGCTAGATTTAGTTATTCTCAGCCGTTCATTTTCCATACTCAGAGATTCTGGCAAAGACCAGGAATGGGCTGCTCCACTCCTGAGGTTGCAGATAAGAAAACAAAGCACAATCAAGGCTGGGACCCGAACTCAGCCCCAGTCCCTCAGCATGCATTTGGCCAACAGCGAGCACTGTTCTGAGGTTCTCTCCTAAGTGTAGCCACCATCCTCTCTCCAGGAAAAAAGTATCTTTTTGCTTTTTTCCCCCCAGTTTTTATTTTTTATTAGCACATGTTCATGTTCTTAATGACTACCTTCCTTGTAGGGAGTTGATACGGGTATACAACACATCTTCATTCTTTTTTTTTTTTATTCCCTTCCCTCCCTTCTCTTTGGCTTCCCTCCATCTCTTAATTCCCTTTTCTTTTTTTCCCCCATTTAACAATTTTTATTTGGAAATTTTATACCATTCCTCAAAAATTCACATGTCAAAGTAAAAAAAGAAATACTAAATATATGAACATTAGAATTTTGAATTACTAATGAAACATAAAACTTGTCTCAGAAAAAATACACTTTTTTGGGCACACATATGTACAAGAGCTATAACTATGCAGGTGCTACTTTCCTGAGTACAAATGACTCCCCAGATGGAAGGCAACCCACAATAATGGGAAACACTGTGGCTCTGCATTAGGAGATAAGCTCTAAAAGCCATTGCAATGTGGGATTATTATCTGCATTTTAAAATGTGCTTACAAGCTGGTAAAGTGCCAGATAGCTTATTTTATGTTAATCTCTAAAATTTAAACACTGTACTACCAAATTTTCAGGTCTGTTTCAAGAACCAGAATTTGGTAAGTGTTTTGTATGTATTTTTTTTCAGAACCGGGGATTGAACTCAGGTCTTTGCGCTTGCCAGGGAAGCACTTATTCTACTGAGCCATCTCCCCGGCCCCTGTATGTATTGTTAAACAGTAGCTATTATCACCAAGGGATAGAAAAATTAATTTATATAATACCCTCAACTTTTCAATACACTTTTCCTACGTGATGAGCAGAGCATACAGAAAACTTCTACTAGGCCACTACGTATGTGAATAATGTAAGTCACTGTACATATGAACCCCTTTTTCCAAGATTAATTATTTTTCTCATTTTTGTAAGGTGAAATCAAGGGCACATGAACAAAGCAATAATAACACAAAAACTATTGAGCTGCCACAGTGGAGATTCAGGTTGATTCCTAAAACTTCTGCTGCACCCAAAATATTTTTTACAAGGACAATTTTATCAATTTGTAATTTTATCTTCTTGTATGTATTAGGGTCAAAGAATATTGTATGAACAATATTCATTTGTGTAACTTATTTAGGCTTCTCTTTTGGGCAATTCCCTTTTCTTTTGAATAAAATGTATCTCTCTACTACTTCTTATTGTCTACTTTTGATTTTACTGTTAATTTATATTCTGGTTTTCTTACATAAGATACACCACTTCGTATTTGAACTTGTGAGTCTGATTATGTCACTTGACATTATGCTCTTGAGGTTCATCTGTTCTACTGCAAATGACTCAAACTCATACTTCTTTCCAGCGGAGCAGCACTCCATTGTGTATAAATATCACATTCTTTTTTTTCCATTCATCTGTTGATAGACATACAGGCTGCTTCCTAGATTTAGCTTCATGAACTGTGTTGCTATAAAATACATGTGCATGTATCAGTAGCGCTCAGATTAAAGATACAAATGTGTTTGGGCGGCATCATTCTCAACTGCCTCCCACCCGGGTAGTGCCGCCCTAGCCTAGGGAGCCACCTTCCGTGTGGAGCTCGATACACGTGGCTGGAGGCTGTAGATCCCAGGAGACCCCCAGGTCTCTACCTCTCCACTTGGAAGGACCCTTTCTACTCCCCCAGTGAATGAATGACTTTTGCCTTGGCAAAGGCAACTGGATTGTTCCCAAACCAACACAGCCTCTTACCTGCATTGGAGACGTAGTGTCTGGCCTACTTGCAAGACGTGCTGCGTGCCTTTTAAATTCAGTTCAGGACTTTTTAATTTTGCACCTGAACTAGGTTCTGGAAAACAAATTATTAAAATGTACTATTTACAAATTGCCTTCACATCTTATTTTAAAGTTATTTTTCTTTATGCTGAAGATACATTCAATACAAATTTCTCTTAATGCACAGTTTTCTAGTTCACCTCTTGTTTACAAATATAGTTACCATATAACCTAAATATTATACTACCCACAAGTGCATCTACCTAGTATGTTAAAATGCCACCATATTAATATAATATAACTTACTAAAAACTTTTGAGATTAAATATAATCTCTAGTATATTTCTTTTTTTTCCTCTAGTATATTTCTAACACTGGATTTCTTCATATCACCATGCATCATCCGATGACATAGGCCTGTGTAATTTTTCTGGATAAAAAGGAAATTTCATATTGGGCCTCATAAATAGAATTATCATGTATAATTATAACTATTTGGTTGTTTAAGATGCGAATGCTGACTCTCTTGATCAGATCATTATATATCATATACATGTGTCAAATTATCATACACTACCCCATAAACATGTATGATTAATAATTTTTGTAAGGTAAATAAATTTTCTGTGTCCTAGACATAACTTGATCATTAGTGGACCAATGATATTTTTGAATCATTTTTCTTTCACACTAATTTTCTCATTTGAAAAATTAATTTTAGAGCCAAGTGAGTTTTAGAAACCACTGGTTTGCCTTACGTAATCAACAAATTCTTTCTATAAAGGCACAGTACAAAGGGAACTGGCCACTCTAATGTGGCATTTGACAAGCATATCTCACAGGGGCTTGCTCTGAAGCAATGAAATCTGTATGTAAAAATGCTTTAAGATCTTATACAGGGAGAAACTTAGTAGAATAAGTGCTTGCCTGACAAGCACAAGGTCCTGAGTTCAATCCCGGGCATCACAGAAAAAAAAAAAAAAAAAAAGATCTTATACGCCTAGCTGTGTAACCCTGAGCAAGTCACATCTCACTCCAGATCTCAGTTCTCTTATCTATAACACAAGAGACTGGGCTAATGCTGTCGCACTACCAAGCACTGTGACTCTCTAAGTTGCATGATGCTTGGAGACAGAGGTCCTGCAGGAGTTGAGCCTCCCTGGAAGCTCTCACTGACACTCAGAAGACAACCAATAAGGATCCCTCTTGCTTTCTCCTCATCGTCCCATCTGTCCTCCTTCCTTCTCGTCCCTTCTCCACCTCCTCCTCATCCTACAGAGATGGCTGCAATGTCTGCTGAAAGCAGGAGGCAGCGCCCAGGATCAGTGACCCTTAGCAAAGAGGAGAGATCAAGGGAGTGAACTGCCCCCACCCCATGAGAATATTTTGCTGGGTATATAATTGCAAAGAAGGATGTGAAGTGAGCGTTGTATGCTCTTCCAACACTGCACTGATAGAACTTAATATTTTAAGGTAACTTTTATAGACAACAGGTCCTAGTATAAAGTACTATTGTACTAGATAAAATGGCTCAAAACTACTAATTTACGTTCAAATTACCATTTTATATAGATCAAATTGGTCTATCAAAAAACTGAAAGATCTGAGAGCATCCAGCCCAGTCACTTATTTTACAGATGAGGGAACTGAGGTCTGGAGAGAGAGGTGAGTTGTGCAGGGTCGCACAGCTACTCATTCGGATGATGCATGACACTGCTACTGTGTTGTATGCGGACATATATAGATTTTAAAGCACTTTCTACTGCTGACCATGGTATCCTAAGAGATCTGATCTGAGAGAATGATTTTCTCTCCTAATGAATGAATTTGTTCCTTTTCAGAACAAGTCACTCCATTCAGGTACACATTCTGTACTTTACTCATCTTTAGGAATTTTCTTTTTTTCTTTTTTGGCTGGCTCAGCCATGCTGAGCAGGTGCTTGAGACCACTTAGCAATCTTGCTGGCCCTTTAGGAATTTTCTAAGGCATTAAGTAGCTAAAAATCAGTAGGTTTTTCTAAAAACACAGCCAGCAATTGATAATACCTACCATGACAATTTTACAGGCCAGAATGTTTTCTACCCTTCTTTATGGTATGAAACACTGGAGATTTAATTGAGCAATTGTTGTGTAATTGTTTTAGTGTGGGACGAGAACAACAAAGCTTCCTACAGAAAAATTCCGGCACTGCTGGTAGTTAGCTCTGTGGTCTGGGTGGAGAAAATCAGTTCTCCCATCCAGGAAAACCCTTGGAAAGAACTCTGCATTTTTGTAGCTTAAGTACCTGATGCTTTCATTCCTAAATCATATGAATGTTCATCAGCAGCCTAGAAGAACACAGTTCTAACTGAGAGAATCTGTAACCTCAGAGAAGTAAGCCATGTCCAGATGAGAAAAGTGTTATATTTATAATTCCTTAAACAGTAAGTAAGCCCATATTTTTTTTCTGCACCCTCAAGCTGTCCTCCAGTCCAAAGACAACCTGAGTGGTGAGAAGTTATTAGTGTGGACTAACTGTCTTTAAAACAAATATGTGTGTTATTTAAACAATGCACTTTCTACTGGTTCTGTGTGAGCATTGATTTTCTGTTCTGTGTAGTCTACTAGGTACAATAGAACTTTACAACCAACACAAGTTCCATCTTTCCTTCCTCACATGTCCCATGTCAGGTCGAAGGCTATACTTGATTTCCCACCTTCATTTCATTCAGCAAAATGAAAGGCTATTTTTTGTCTTCAATAGGAAGAGTAAATTTTTCAATCAATGAAGGCATTATTTCACAGCCACATTGAAAGCCCAGTGATTAAATCTCTTTCTTCAAAAGCTCTTCACAGCTACTGTGATCAATATTAGAAGGACGAGCTCCCAGCAAAGGTCATTATGAACCAGATAAACTTACTGTCACTTTTAGGGCTCAATGACAACTCATGGAAAAACTAGAAATATCTTTAGAGAAGTCCTATGTTTACAATCTAAGTAAAACGTGTTCTTGCTGACTGAATGCAACTTCAAGACAAGTCCACTAGCTCCTTTATCTACTAGATGCCACTCCTGTGCCCCTATTATGCCAAAATGAAAGATTGTTTTCAAAGGAGCTTTAGCTGACCATGATAAACCATAGTTTGGTCAATAGTGGAATAAATGATAGTGGTCACACAGCCTAGCGACATCCTCACCATTCTTAGCTTATCTAAGCATACCCTATGACGTTCATATAACAAGTATCTTGCCTAAGATGGATTTCTCAGAACATTTTTCTGTTGTTAAGCAACTCATGGCTATGTAAATCATAAAACTCTGTTTTCCAATTTATGATTTACAGTCATTTCTCCCGATAACTCTGCTACTACTAGTTTTCTTTTGGCCACAGGAAAGCCATTCTAAGACCCAGCTTTTTCGTCGACGATGGAGGAGGTAGACATTAATTTTTATAATCCCTTTCTGCCTAAGGATTCTTAAATCATAGCCATTGATAGCAATATACAAATTAGAAATGACATTTTAAAAATATTTATTGCTAATGAGAAGACAATCCAGTTTGAAAAATTGAATAAGAACCTCAATAGACAGTTTTCCAAAGATGTACAACTGACCAATCAGCACATGAAAAGATGAAGGAAATCACCAAAAAATGAATACTAAAAACACAGTAACATATTACTTCAGCTCTACTAGGATAGTGGAAATAAAAAGATCTATGTCTTGTGACAGATGTAGAAAAATTAGCACCCTCGTGTACTTCTGGTAGGATTAAAGAACAGTACAGCCATTTTGGAAAACAGCATGGCAGTTCTTCAAATGGTTACCCAGAGTTAATCACAGGTTAAACTTCTGACCCAGCACTTATACTCTTGGGTATCTCCCCCCTGAGAACTGAAAATGTATACCCACTTAACAGCCTGTACATAAATACACACACCAATGTTATACATGAGAGCCAAAAAGCAGAAACAGCTCAAGTGTCTATCAATAAACAAAATTTCTCTATCCAGATAGAATGTTGTATGATAATAAATAGGAATGAAGTACTGACACATGCTACAATATAAATGAATCTTGGAAACAAAACATAGCCATTGAGGTCACAAACCTGCTGACACTCTGATCTCAAACTTCCCTCTTCCAGAATTATGAGAATGTAAATTTTAAAACAAGCATCAATAACAAATGAATGCTAAATGAAATCAATCAGTCATGAAGAGCTATACATTGCATGATTCCATTAAATAAAATGTCTGGAACAAGCAAGCCCACAGAGGGAAAAAGTAGAACATTGGTTGGTAGGAGCTTGGGGAAGTGAATGCAAAATGACTTATAAGTGATTACTTTGGGGTGAGGAAAATGATTTAAAATTGGATAGTGGCAATAGCTGCATAATTTTGAACATATGCAAGTTCACTGTTTAATTCAATATTCTGATCACTTGTATTTGGGGCTTCCCACAGAGACTACAATTAAATTTCTTCTCAATAGGAGCTTTTATTTTAAAAAACCTATTACATTGACATCCTGACAACTGAGCTATCTTGAAGTCCATTGACACATATGACTCCATCAGTGTCAGGTTTTGCCTTAACTGATTTTCTTCTTAAAGTTTTAGAAGACTTTAGAGAAAGTTTTACTTCACATTTAGGAACATTATTTATGTAGAAGTTTTATATATATTCAGAAAAATTTGCTATCTTCATTACAATCTTCTACATTTAACATTCTTTAAATTATTTCTAATTATATATTTTGAATTTTAACTATTCAGATGAGAATTGTTTGTATGCGTTTGTGGTACATAGTGAATACATTCACTGTGGGTACATGGACATAACACGTCTTCATTTTTTACACCCCCTTTTCCTCTCCCACCCCATCCCCACATCTCCTAGTCCTCTTCCTGAAACTGAGTCACTTTGTCAGTTATGTTGCTAGAGCTCTCTAAAGAAATCTACTGATGTTTCCTTTTATACTAAAATTATTGCCTTCCAATTTATTAGTTTCTAACTTAAGCTTTGTATAGCAGATTCGTTTTAAATGAGAAGCATCTGCCTTTGATTTTGCCTACCATGTTCTCAGTAGT